GCTACACAGAGCTATACACAGCTATACAGGGATACACAACTATACAGGGCAATAAACAGCTTTACAGGGCTATATACAGCTAAACAGAGCTAAACACAGCCCTACAAGGCTATACACAGCCATACAGGGCTATACACAGCTATACGCGGCAGAAAAGGGCTATACACAGCTATAAAGGGCTCTACACAGCAATACATAGCTAAACATGGCTATAATAGCCATACAGAGCTATATAAAGCTGTACAAAGCTATACGCAGTTAAACAGAGCTATACAGGACTATACAGGACTATAAATAGCTATACAGGGCTATACACAGCTATATAAAGCTATACGCAGCCAAATAAGGCTATGCACACCTATACAGGGCTATACAGGGCTATACACAGCTATACAGAGATACACACAGCTATACACGGCTATACCGGGCTATATACAGCTTAACGGAACTTTATACAGCTATACAGAGATATACATAACTATACAGAGCAATGCGCAGCTATACAGGGCTATACACAGCTAGAAAGAGCTAAACACAGCTATACAAGGCTATACAAAGCTATACAGGGCTATAATAGCGATACAGAGCTATATAAAGTTGTACATAGCTATACGCAGTTAAACAGAGCTATACAGGACTATACAGGACTATACATAGCTATACAGGGCTATACACAGCTATATAAAGCTATACACGGTTATACACAGCAATGCAGGACTACACATAGCTATATAGTGCTTTGCACAGCTATACAGGGCTATACACAGCTATACAGAGCTATTCGCAGCTATACAAGGCTATACACAGCTACACAGGGCTATACCCAACTAGGCATGGCTGTACAGGGATATGCACAGCTATACAGGGCTACACATAGTTATACAGGGCTATACACAGCAATACAAAGCTGTACACGGATATACAGAGCTATACACACCTGTACAGGGCTATAAAGGGCTCTACACACCTATACAGAGCTATACACAGCTATTAAGAGATATACCCAGCTATACATGGCTGTACAGGGATATACACAGCTATACAGGGCTATATATAGTTATACAGAGCTAAACACAGCAATACAAGGCTATACACACCTTTACAGGGCTATACATAACTATACAGGGATATACGCAGCTATACAGAACTATATGCACCTAAACAGAGCTATTAGTGTTACTTTTAATAATTTTATTGTTACACCTTACTCAAGGATCAGTTTTTCATCATGATGAGTATAAAAATGCCATAAAATGGATTTTCTTAAAATTTATTGAATTCTTATTCCGAAATAGGCTGTAAATACCACTTAAGTGCTCAAGTGATTGTAGAAAACCTGCAGAGCTAAACGAAAAATGTTATTCAATACTTAGTTGTTAATTCAAACGTCAGCAATTGAACCACAATAGTTTTCTGAATTTCTCGTATATCAGTGATAGTTCTGCATTCCCTCATTGACGGCATTCTCTCTTTTACTTGTTTTAAAAGTGTGTTATCAAAGAAATAAACACGGCAATAAACAAAGGCAATTTATGTATAGTTGTGTATAGCTCTGTATAGCTCTGTATAGCTCTTTATAGCTGTGTATAGCCTTACATGGCCTTGTATAGCTGTGTATAGCTGTTTATAGCCCTGTATAGCTGTTTATGGCTCTTTATTGCGCTGTATAGCTGTGTATGGCTGTATCTAGTCTAGTTTTGCACTACATATGTGTGTAGGATATTATATGTAAAGTATAGGACATTATATGCATGTAAAGTATAGGACATAATAATTCCTCATACATGACCTACTTACTTGTTTTCCCGCCAAATTGGAACATTATTCTGTGATTTCATCATTCGAAACGTTTGGTACGAGGTGAGTAGGTTTGATCATTTGATGATTTGATCATTTTCGCTGTAGAGAGCCCAAAAAATGCTCGAGAGAAGTTCAATGACAAGATCGGAAATTAATTAAATGTTTTAAAATATTATGCTGTTGTCGGGGGTTTCGATAACTTCGATAAGCAATGCCGATGGTGAAGTATCTCGGCTGCTGTGCACGTAAAACCCAAACACGAGAGCTTGCTTGCAAAGGTCTTACAGGCGGCAGTATAGACAGCCGGTAACCGGCTTCTTATGAAAACCCCGGCTGTCGAACAATTGAAGTTCTGTGAAAGGGACAAAGGACGTAAAACGAACGCGCTCGCTAAAAGCAGATCTCGAGCCATTCTTCTGACACCAATAATTCAGCACTTAGCATATATCGTTTTTATTACTGGAATCTCTTGCATGGCTAAATGTATCTGCTGATTTATCCTGCACGCTCGATTCTAACTTTAATAAGACACGCGGTTGTTTTGACCGAACGCACAATGTCACTCGCATGGTTTCAATAAATTATTTTTGCACTTGATACGCGCGCTTTGCTTCTGGATAATTGTGGTAAGCTATCTCGTTTTTTTTCATGTATATCATTAATACGTAAAGTCTTGATTTTTCACGTGCAATTTGGAATGAATAACCACAAATTGTACTCGCTCTACGGGCTCGTGCAATTTTGTTAGTCTTCGAAAAATTTTACTCGCGCTTATTTATTCCAAATTGCATTCGAAATCACGTGATTACCTCTACAAAGTACATGTACTAAAAATAATAAAAAAATTTATGTCTTATTACAAATGTATTCAGACATATGATGCAAGAGTTCAGTCAATTGAGCATTCCATTGCATTGCTAAATAAAAGGAATGCAAGCAGATTTCCACTAAGAAGTATAAATGGGTACTGAATAACTGTTTGAACATTTTATGGTATGCTGGGAGGCCTGATAAAGCATTGCTTGAGAAGCCTTGTTTTCCCTTCGGGAGGATGAAAATCTCTGCAATTTACTTCAACCCCTAACACCCTAACATCAGTATGCATACTCTCCATACTATTTCTGTATATTTCCTGAGATGCTGACAAGGAGAATTTGTTTAACAATCAAGAGCTTCTTTATATGGTGATCATTTCCTTTATTCTCAAGACCTTAGTGTTTGCTTTAGGGGTGACATTGTAAGGGGAAAAAGGACAATAGTCACTCTTAAAGGTTAAAGAGTTCAAGCTGGGAAAAAAGGGTACAAATTAAGCAGATTGAGGCATTTCACTCACAGTCAGACTTGTCTCTCTTCAAGGCTTTTAATACAACTGCATCAGGATGTTGTCAGGCACCGATACATGTATGAATAATGACAATGCTGAAACTTGCATACCGAAGAAAGAACCTATGAAGACACAAAAACATGATGAAATGCAGTACCTGGAGTTAATTCAACACATCATTGATCATGGGTCAAAGAAAGAGGACAGAACAGGTGAGATGGAAGATCAAAAATATACAGCACCATACTGTTTACTAGTCAAAGAATTATTAACATGCTTTAGAGCATGCATGATCATCACCTTTGAACAATAATAAAATATTGTCGGAACAATAAAAGTAAATTTTTCAAAGTGAAATTACTTCTAAACTAGAAAAGTTTTTAGAAATTTTAAAATTTCTGCAAGGAAAAGAATAGGCTTGGAAATCTTAAGTGGTGATAGATCAAGAAATCTGACCTTTTGAAAGCTTGTTGGCCTGCACGTCACAAGGTGAAAACATTCCTACAAAAATTATCTCAGCTTTTGGTGATTGAGAGTTACATTTTACTCAAGCAATTTGTGAATACAAAGTTACAGTCAATGAGTGTATAGTGACTAATTTGTCCATAACCACTCACAGGTACAGGAACCCTCTCCATTTTTGGAGCCCAGATGAGATTTAGTCTACGTAACAATGTATTTCCTCTTCTAACAACGAAGAGAGTGTTTTGGCGTGGAGTCGCTGAGGAGCTTCTTTGGTTTGTCAGTGGTTGTACAAATGCAAATGAGTTGAGCAAGAAGGGAATTCATATCTGGGATGCAAATGGTTCAAGGGAATTTCTTGACAAACAAGGTAATTTCAAATTGAAAATAGAACAAATTTGTTTCATTAAATTACCAGCAAATAGCTGTTAGTGTAAGATGGTAAAGTTTCACTTTTACAACAAAATACAAATAAGACCAATCTTTAATTTTTTGAATTAATAATTGTGAATAATAAATAGTTTTAATACTTCTACAGCGCAATATACATATGGATATGATCTTATGCCCTTTAAAACAACTGAAATAAAATAAGTAAACCTAACAATTAAGACACTAAACATAACTTTGTATCTGGAGATACAAAATATCACTCAGGTACAAGAACCCTCTCCATTTTTGGGGTCCAGATGAGATTTAGTCTATGCAACAATGTATCTCCTCTACCAACAAAGCAAGTATTTTGGCAGGGAATTGCCGATGAGCTTCTTTGGTTTGTCAGTGGTTGTACAAATGCAAATGAGTTGTGCAAGAAGGGAATTCATATCTGGGATGCAAATGACTCAAGGAAATTTCTTGACAAACAAGGTAATTTCGACATGAAAATAGAACAAGTTTGTTTCATTTACCAGCAAATAGCTGTCAGTGTAAGATGGTAAAGTTTCACTTTTACAACATAATACAAAAAAGGCCACACTTTAATTTTTTGAAATTTAATAATTGTGAATAACAATAATTTTAATACTTTAATAGCACAATATACATCTTGATATGATCTAATGCCCTTTAAAACAACTGAAATAAAAAAAATAAAAAACTTAACATAAATTTATATCTGCAGATCTCACCATCATTGAAATTACTATCTCAAAATGATCTTATCTAATACTTGCCATTCAAAAACTAATGTACAATACTTAAAAAGCAAAATATTGATCCTAAATATATTAATGATATGAAAGTATATAATAGTAAAATGCGGAAATCCTAGATTGAGTTAGCTGTCAGTGTAAGATAGCTAAATTTCATTTTGCATCATAATACAATGAAGACCACATTTTCGTTTTTTGAAATTTTAATTAGGGATGGAAAAATGTAGTCATGATAATTATTATAGGGTTATTGCATGACTTAAAAGTGATGAATAATTATGTGACTTTTCCCAATAATATCCACTCATTATTTGGCAAACAGGTAATGAAAATACTTATCAGGTAGAAGCTGTTATCTTGATCTAACATCAAATTCTTGTAACAAATTTGCAATGAAATGTGTAGCTGCTAGAGTGGGAGAATACACAATCAGATCTTTGGGGTTAAAAGGGTAAACAGGTTGGGTATTATGATGGGGCTTGGCCCATTTTTCAAACCAAACTTCCAGTTTTGCGATCTTTTAAATTTTTAGGTTTGCATCACAGAGAAGTTGGTGACCTTGGTCCAGTTTATGGATTTCAATGGCGTCATTTTGGTGCCACCTATGATAACATGCATACAAACTATGATGGCCAAGGAGTGGATCAGTTGGCTGATGTGATTCACAAGATAAAAAATAACCCTGACAACAGGCGGATTATAATGTCAGCCTGGAATCCTGTTGGTAATAAAAACAGAACAGTGTTATTTATACGTACCTGTGTATTGATAATCAATCAGAATTGAACTCCAATCAGCTTTTTCGGGGAGTGGGGGAAGGGATGAAATTTTAGGGTTTGAGGGCTATAATTTTGATGAATTATTAATAAAAGACAAAGAAAAAAATGAATTTATCTATAAATTGATCTAAATGATACTTTTGATTGTTTTAAGACTCATTTCAAACCAGTCATGACTCCCTTAACAGAAAATCTGCTTTGTCTTCTGGTAAAATCTCTTGAAAAAAGAAATAATTATGTTTGAGACAATTTCAACCTCCCGTAACTTAAAATTTAAATAATACTGTGGATTATTCAGCTTATGTGCTCTTTAGAAAACTGATAATTATTTGTAAATGGTTCTCCTTTAATCAACAGATTTACCTAACATGGCTCTTCCGCCATGTCACTCATTTGTCCAGTTCTATGTCTGTAATGGAGAACTTTCCTGTCAGCTTTATCAAAGATCTGGGGACATGGTATGTAATCTGCAAGGAATAGTTGAGAAGATCACAATTACTTTGTTGTGGTCCTGTCTTTGTGTAAAATTTTCATCAAGATCTATCAAACTTGGAGAGAGGAGATTGAACCAGAGTGCCTTACCTGGCACTTTTGCAGAATAGACTCACTACTAAATAAAATGTTGAATTGAATGATTTGTGATCAAACCTAACTCCTAATTTAGAGCCATGTTCAGAGAATCAAAAGACACTTTGGGAAAGGTAGAAACAATATTTTATTGCATAATGGATTTTTTTTCATTTCCAGGGTCTTGGAGTACCTTTTAATATTGCTAGCTATTCACTGCTGACCTACATGATTGCCCATGTCTGTGGTTTGAAGGTAAGATCCTTATCTTTTCAATGCATTTTGTTGATAAATATTGTAATTTTTTTGTCACTAAGTATGTGTTGTACATGTGGCCTGTTTTAGGACATGACAAAGGGACTCTCTCCAGCTTTCAAGCACAAATAACTTAGTAAACCTAGAATCAAACATCTTGACCATAAACTGATTTTATTTTTTGGCCTCACTGAATAAATTTTACCATCAATGTTTCTCTCTAGCCTGGTGACTTTGTGCACACGCTGGGAGATGCACATGTGTACCTGAATCACATTGAAGCTTTGAAGAAACAGGTGAGAACATTTACACAAAAGTGGAATAAACGTTGTATGGTGTTTGACAAATAAAAAACATAACTCAGTGAAAACTTGATCTCAGTCTCCATTGCGTCAAATACGATTGTCACCCTATCTGTAAAGGAAATTTACACACTGGTTTGTTTCACCTGATATTTTACCAAATGAAATATTTTGTTTCCACAGCTTCAAAGGGAGCCTCGCCCATTTCCAACCTTAGAGATTGCACACGATGTCCCAGATATTGACAGCTTCTCGCTTGATAAATTTAAGATCACTGGATATGACCCACACCCAACTATCAAAATGCAAATGGCTGTCTAAAGTTCAATGCAATTGTGAATACATTACTCTTTAAATTAATCTTAATAGGAACATGTGTTTGTTAAAAGAATACTGCATTATATATGATTGTTAAATCCCTCAGGGTTTCAAGCTAAACTTCTTTAAAGTTGCCATTTGGCAACCTTAAAATTAGAGAATGGTCCTTGAAAAAAAAAAAACGAAAAGGAAAAGAAAAGGAAGAAGGACATTTTGTCAAATATTGCACACTATTTCAAGCAAGAACTGATCTCATTTGATACTTAAAATCATACACTGAAAATGAAAATGTTACAATTTTGCAAACAAGTATTTTTCTAGAATAGAGTGTACACTTTCCTATTTCTGCACAGTTGGTATTAAAAGTGATCTCTTTTTTTTACTGTCTTGAGCATGGGGTCATTTCCCAAACTGTGGCTGATTTCAAGCCAAGAGGCATAATTAAGTCTAATACAGGAATGCTGTACCTAAAGGCCACACCCTTGCCTTTTTGTAAACTACTTTTGATCAACAAGGTACATGCTGATCCTATTAATATTTCTGATGAGGATTAATACTATGAACATTGAAGTTTCCTATCATACTGTTCAGCCAGAGAATTATGGGAAAATTTGGGTGAGCTACAGGCAAATACTTTGGTCTTAATGCATACATGTAGGTATTTTTAGTACAATGCCCAACGATGGGGTATAAATTCATTAAATTAAGCCCCAGAGTCTTAGCTAACAAGGTCCTAAGGTGCCTGAGGAAACCCCTTTTTCCCTCCTTTCTGAGAAAGGATTGTTTATAATATCTAACTTTTGTGTCAATAAAATGCTGAAGCCAGACCCTCATTAGACTTTTCTAGGTAGCAGAACTATATGATACAAAAATAATGAGACATACAAACTATTTAGGTCTTAATACATGATTAATGCATAAAATTCATGTTCTATGCAAGTTTGTGTACCAAGACGTTCTAAATACCAAATATTCCATAAGGGCTCTCTGTGGAGTTAACCATATGCTGAACAGCTAACACAATTTCAGCACCAAAAGCCAATCGCTCAAAATACTGGGAAAGAGAAATCAGCTGGTTATTCTGTTCTTTGCTTGGCTTAAAAAATGATTTTCTTTTGTGTAATGAGAAAGTAATTGGGTGACAGCCATGTCAACGTGACAAACTGTAGCAATGTCACGCACTGCGTGACTGAGGAGAAAATTAAACGCAGAAGCCTGGGGGGAGTACGATGTTCGCCAGCCATTTTGAAAAAGTTTAGTCTTCACACGAGTCAAATATATGAAGATAGTAGCGTTCCTCTGATGACAATTTGCACATTTTACAGATCATCGGGCTTACTGACAGCCTAGAGGTTAGTCTACTTCGGCAGAATAATTATGTAGCAAATTTTGCTTTAAATCTTAGATCACAAATTGATTAAGAGAATTTTGCAATGAAATTATGTAATTACGTAAGACAGTAAGCTCACTTTTATCTTCAGATGTGCGTCCGATATTTTTTGTTCGAAAATTGATGAGTTTGAACTCTTTTACCCTGTTTCCACTTTTGGGGAATGTGACGGGTTATAAGAAAAAACTATTTCCCCACCACCAAAAAAAAACATTAGAAGCAAACAAAAAGAAAACAAGACATAAAATATGCAAAGTGTTTTTTTATACCATTAAATCGAAGGCCAATCACTCAACAGAGGCCTTGTAAGTTAGGTTACACAGCCATTCTTAAATCCTCATAACAGGCCTGATTATCGCAGGGTGTCAAGACCAACGGTTACTAAATTATTATTTTCTCCAAGTATAATTTATTTTACCTCTTTCTCTTTCTCTGCTTCAACAATACCTTGTAAACCTTTAGTTCACGGTTTCCTTGAGTATATTCCAAGCACAAAGTCGACTGCCATTTGTTTCCTTTAAAAATGTCATATTGCCGTGCAAATGCCTTTTGAATGACAAGGATTGCTGTTTTCATTTCAGGCTTCATAAACTGACCTTAGAAATGACAAATGCCAATAATTTGAGGTTTGCAGTTAAACATCTCTACAAGCAGGTCAGATAAATGTCCTACATGAAGTGTATCCATTAAAACCCAGTTGTAAGAAAGAGTTAAAAAAAAACACTTAGATAAATTGCCCTCAGGTTCATGGCACAAAACTGTTTTACTTTTGACCTTAACCGTTTATCTCCCAGGAGTGATAGACATGTAACTTCTCCCCACAATATCCATACATTACCCAGCAAACAGGTTAGGAGAATACTCAGACCTATCAGGTAGAAGTTGTTATCTTTATCTCAGACCAAATTCTTGTACCTAATTTGTAAGAAAATGAGTAGCAGCTAAATGTGAGAATTAAAATCAGATCTTAGGTGTTAAAAGGTTAATCTACTTGATGGTTAGGAAAGTGGAAAGTCCCAGCCAAGCTTAACCCTTTAAACCCAAAGAGTGATCAGCATTCAATTTCTCCCCACAATAGTAATGCTGAATCATTTATTGAGAGCACAAGAATAGAGAGAATGATCACTAGCCTAAGAGGCTTTGATTGTTTAACATATTCTCCTTGTCAGTAGTTAAGAAAATGTATAGATAACTGTATAGAGAACATGGATACTGCTTGTAGATAGAAATAGTAGAGATGGTAAGTTTTGTCCCACACTCGTCCAACGCTCGTGAAAAGATGAAAAAACATATTTCTTAATTCTTTACCAAGCTCAAAACTTACCATCTCTACAAAAAAGTTGAGGTCAATTCTTATGATGTTAGTTCAGAGAATTTGGTAATGGATTAACTAATAATCCCTGATTGATATTGTTTATTTTCAATACTTGTCTGCTTGATATTATGTTAATTTCATATAGTATGGAGAAATTATGTCTCGGTCACTCATGGGAGTTCAGAAGTTAAGGTGTGGTGTCATTTTGCAGCAGAGAAGCTTTTTTGTGAAAGATTTACCCACTTTCTTTACACATAACTAATGAGTCAAATACAACTCAATGCTTCATAGGAGAATATTTCACTTGTCTAGTTACTCACAGTATAGCTGGTTAGAGGTTGCTGATCTTTTTCCTTTCTTTACAGTTATTGTTTCTTGGAAGAGATTATCCAGCAGGAGAAAAGTATTTTAAATCCAAACTTAAACAAGCATTTATGAAAAACAGGGATGAAACAGACCCTGAGAAGATTAAGATGTTGATTGCCAGAGGAGAATATGTCATCAAAGAGGTTGAAGCTTTGTACATGTTACGAAAATACAGGACTTTAAAGCAAAGATACTATGGAGACCAATAATGGCATAAAACATTGGCCATTAGAATGGTAAATCAAAATTTTCAGTGACAGATGCTCTTGCTTCAGGCTTAATGATTATGTAACTGCTTTGAGTGGTTATTTCAGTTGTACATAGTTTGAACTTCAGTTGTTCTAACTATACATGGCTGCAAAAATTTCCTAATATAATTTTGTGTAAGGGTTTTAAGTCTAGCAACTTCTGCATCATCTAGTAAAGTAAATTTTTTGGAATTCCTATTTTGTTGGTTTATGGAACAGTGTCACAGAGGTTTTTTTCAGAGAGAACTGCTAAGGAGTAGCAGTGAGTTGCTGATGAAAAAGAGGACTTTGTATCACTTTTGGAAAACATTTGTGTCTGAAGAGTTAAAAGTTGTCATTATGACATTTAAATGACAGATAAAGCTAACCACAAGGACAGTGTCAATTGTAAACCAGTTTTCATGTAGACTGCATATATCCATGCCATAGGTATCAGCTGGTAGCTTAAAAAGGTTGGAGAAGTGATACACTGCTTCAGCATTGTGTGACATGAACAGGGTATGCATGCTACTCAATCCTTATATGTTCCTCTATCCCCAACTGGAGAATGTGAAACCACCTTATGACTCGTGCAATGTCCAACCACTGACTAACAGCTCTGCAACAAAAAGGCCTTTGAAAGGCTCAGATCACAGCTTAGATGTGGCCTTTTGTCAGTGAGGATGGAAATGGTATTGAGTGGTGCTCTTTTTCGCTGTTGGGAATACTGAGGCAGAATTAAAATGAGAAACTGGGATCATGATCAGGAAAATGGGATTTGTGCCAAGACCAGTTTTTAAATCACAGTTTGTGCACCTCAAAAATTGAGGCCTAAATTTTTGGAGTTCATCACTTGCAATCCCTTTTAGAACAATTATCTAGTGAGTGTCCAAAGTGAGGGGGGTTTTAATTAACTTTCCTCTGTGATTGGTCCAGAAAACTTGCGCCATCTTCTCAACCAATCATGCAATTTTTTTAAAAAATTGCGACTTGGTCATTCTCGTTTTCCCGCGCTTTAGGAAGTTTGCATGTTTTCACTCCTAGTTCTCATTGGCTAATGGGAATGGAAGTCTTTGCTCTGACGAAGGGTTAACGCTCGAAACTTAAGCTCTGAAACTCTTTACGGTGACCAATTTACATTATCAACCCAGTAGTACGACACAACTGCCTTTTGCTTTGTTGGTAACTGCTCTATCTAATTTTTTTTTAATCAAAGATTTTAATTAACAACACTACAAAATACAAACTAACATTGTTAACAAGAATGGCGTTTTTTACTATATTTATAATGTAAATGTTACCTATAATAATGACATTGCCTTAAATACTAACCTTATGTACCATACTAACATCGCCTAAAGTTATTTGAGTTTCCCTTATATCAATCAGTTATACTAATTTGACCAATTTTTTTTTTTTTCACGTTTTTTAAATTCCTCGTAAATGTTTGCACTAACCCACTTTTTCATCCACATAGACTAACACCACTAAACACCACTCAGATACTGAAGGCACAAAACAAAACTTATAACATCCGGAAAATATTGTTGAACCTGTGTTAAGCGGCACCGTACTAAGCGGTCTACCTGTAACAAGCGGTCAGTTGTCAAAGTCCTGATTTTTCCCCCTTCGGTTACCGTAATTTTTTACCTCTGCTAAGTGGTCGCAGTGACCCTTGACTTAGTCCCAACGTCCTTAATCTCATAGCCTGACCTGTATTAAACGGTCACTTAAAGTGCTACCACCTTAGTAAAACTAAAAAAGTCCCAAGTAAAATTTATCAATGTTAGTACTGCATGAACAAATGTCCCTAGCGCATTACGCGTTAAACAGTCCATAGATTACTTTTTAATGCAGCCATTTACACGAAAGTTGTCGTTTTTTATCGCGTTTGACTGTTTCGTGGATCCTGTTTTAAGCGGTCATCCCGCCATTCCCCGTTGGTGACCGCTTAATAAAGGTTTGACTGTATGAAATAAGCCAGCAATTAATGAATACAATACTTCAATATGGCAGTCGCTCACGAAAAAAGTTATTGCAACCCCCGACTGCATGACCAACAAAATTTCGATTGATAATTAAATTCAAGTTCTGATTTCAATGAAAATTTCATTCACCTTCTCATTTTACGCTCCATAAACTTAATTCCATGTAAACATCATTCATACCAAAATTTCCAGTCTTTTACATGGTTATATCGCAAATTTTTTGTTTTAAGGAAAACAGATGGGAAGTAAACAAGCACATCCAGACTTTTTCTAACCTCAGGTTCTCACGATCATTAAGTGCTATTATTATCATTAATAAATCTCTTTTGTCCGACCGATCATCCAATTTTTACGGATGAAAGGCAACGGAAAAATAAACCATTTTGGAAATGGCCCTAAGATCGGCGCACAAGAAGGGACTAGTCCCTGTAACTATAGTCCTGGGAACCGAGTCCATTCGTGTGAACTACCCATTTTCATAAAAAATATAGTCGCAGGGACCAAATTAATCTGAATTCGTGGAACAAGTTCCCTGAACCAATCCCCCAAATTATCCAGGTCCCAGCGTGTGAACTGTTAGTGGGAGAAAGTCACAAATAACAATAATCCAATCACTGAGTGGTATTTTAGTTCCCATAACCCCTTTCGAACTTAAATATATTTTGAATTTTATGCGACGTGGCCTGCAGAATAAATTTTCAATTTGGTCGTATTAAGGGCTCTGTTTGAAGAGCTGCTGTTTTCAGTTCTGGATCAGTTTAGTATACCGAATCCCAGGGGAAAAAGGAACGCTTTCGAAATTGTAAATGACTAACCAATTTTATAAATCGACAGTGTCCTGTTTAATTGACGTGAAAATGTACTTCAGTGTTTTGCGGTTAAGTTAGTAAATTGATTCGGTTTCTCTGTTTAGGGCCGCTCAATTTCCGTCTTTACGCTTCCCTTAATTTCAGTGGAAGCGCTCTAAATTTTACTATTTCGATGTGTAACAGTTCCCGGCGTATAAACCCTTTAATGGGGTCTTAATGGGGGGATGGTTTTTACGGCTAATGGTTAAAATATTGGCTATTTAACGGCTAACAATTAATTTCTTTCCGTTGCGATTAAAGGAAAACTTTTTACGGTTACTAAAACTCCTATTACGACTGCTGTCATTTTTTTCGCCCAAAGGCTAAAGGTTAAACCCATGGAGACCCTCTTCAAGAAAATTGTCCTCGCAACTGATCCCATTGTGAAAACCTTACAGAGAACAAGTCCTTGCATGAAACAAGTCCCTGCCACTCGTTCCCTTATATCATGAAGGCTGCTTAGTCCAAAAGTAAGACATCGTTTTCTACTGACAATGAAAAATTTATAAATTTACCTAACACAACAGCAAGAAAAGTAAATGTAACAAATACGTATTGATAAAAGGGGATATCCTAAAACTTTTTTTCGTTTTTTCGATCGGATGAATTTCACTGACGTCAAGGCTTCTACGTTATTTTGGATTGTATATTGTGACTCAGATTAAGCTTCAAGTAATCAATCATTTGTAAACATTTTAAGTTGATTGTTAAGAAAATAATCTTTAAGTGAAATATGTAAATGGCTAATAATTTTTTCTTATTTCGAGGACAAATTTGCATTCAAAGAGTACGTGTTAAGTAATTAAACCTAGCAAACCAAGTCGTACATCTTAGATTCTGTTTCGAGGTAAGTCAATCTTGTTTTTTTTTTTTCCTCGAAGTAATTTTAAACACAATAATCCTAAAAGGCGAGCATTTTATAAGCTACTATTCCCATTCGACCAGCTCACCTGTCTCCCGAGAACATTAGCTTTTGTGTGACATCGTGAATCATTCTGTATAAAATGTTCCCTACTTTCCTACTTTACCTCAAGAAAGCTACTAAGTGGTGGTTTTTACCTATAATGGTTGCCGTTGGGTTTTTTGTTATACTGTCCGCAATAAAAAATGTTCGCTACACTTTTACAATGTTCACAGTTCCTGGGAATTTTTCTCTGATTTCGAAATCTAACCGTCACGATTGCTTAATGGCTGTTAGGGTTGAGATTTCTGTTGGTGGTCGTTTTAGCCCTGATCATGATAGTGGATTTTCTACAGGTATTTCTCCGTTTTTCTCCCTTCTTGAAAGACAACACACACTAAAACAGTTCTACTTGACCACAACAGTGGCACAAGTTTTGTGCGATGAGTTCTTTAACCTCTTCAGTGTTACTCAGGCGAAAAAAAACTCCTTATCATTTACCACTAACCGGACCAGATGCATGACAAAGTGAGAGATACGCTGATTTGTTTCCTGCGTGTTGAAAAATGATTTGTACCCCTACACATTTAAAAAGTAAAAGCTTTTAGATCTTTCCTTTTCATTCTCTAATCTCAACGAAGACCTATCGTTCCTTAATACTTGAGCATTGACTAATCTTGGTCAAAATGGTCTTCCTTTTAAAAATAAACTTTTTCGGTTTCAGATGCTATTTTCAAAAAGGTGTTCTACTGAACGTTGAGTTTTTAAATCTTCCCCTTATCATCAAAATAGTAATAAAAAATGGTTGATGAAAATAACGAAATTACGAGCTGATAGATTGTATTCTTGTGACCCGTAATAATTTTTCTGATCTACTCTCAATATAACGTGGTGCAAACCCGGAACATTTGGATTATCACACGGTTATCTTCCGTTGTCCGATTCATCATTTATGGGTACCACGCCACTTGAGTCTTACAGCCAATAACATCACGGAAGAAATGACCAATCAGGATTTACAAACCGGACTTACAACATTCGATTGACAACAACCATTCACTTGACTCTGATGATGACTTCCGCTCAGGTTGTCGAAACGTCAGTCACCACTACTGACAACAGTCCTTCTTAGGGCTACACGGACGATCAAACTACAATATTACACCTTATTGATTTGTTGACACCTTATCCCTCTCACTCTCGCTGCAAGGACAGGAGCCTGAGAACGAGGTTCAAATGCTAAAGAATATTTTTCTCGTAGAATTCATCCACAATGAAGTCATCAGAACACAGATTTCAAACGCTATTCGAGCCATTCCGTATCAAATCAGTTGAGAAGATACAACGTACCACAAGAGCTCAGCGGGTTCAGCGTCTAGAAGAGGCGAATTTCAATCCCTTCATGTTGAACTCTGCAGACATCATTATCGATCTGTTGACAGATTCTGGTACGGGCGCCATGAGCTCTGACCAGTGGGCCGCTATCATGAAGGGTGACGAGTCTTACGCGGGCTCACCAAGCTACCGGAATTTTGAAACAGTAGTGAAAGAAATCTTTGGCTTCCGACACGTGATCCCTACGCACCAGGGCCGCGCTGCCGAGAGGATCTTATTCCAGTGTAGTCTCAAAGAGGGGGATGTCGTTCCAAACAACGCGCACTTTGATACAACTCAGGCCAACGTAGAAAAACGGGGAGCCAAAGCTATGAATTTGCCAGTTTCCGAAGCCTTGGATCCAGAGGTAAGTATTCCATTCGGTGGGGATATGGACATCAACAAACTGATAGAATTGCTGTCGAGTGGAATAAAAGATAAGGTTACATTGGTGATGACAACCGTAACTAACAATGCCACTGGTGGAATGCCCGTCAGTATGGAGAACATAAGAATGGTTTCCAAGATTTGCCGCTCTCGAGGAATCCCCTTCTTTCTTGACGCGTGCCGTTTTGCGGAAAATGCTTGGTTCATCAAAATGTTTGAGAAAGGGTATGCACATCGCTCGCCGCTTCAAATTGCACGCGAGATGTTTTCGCACGCCGATGGCTGTACCATGTCTGCCAAGAAAGATGGCCTCGTAAATATTGGAGGATTTCTAGCCATGAATGATGAGCAACTCGCTGACAAATGCCGCCGCGAGTTGATCATATCTGAGGGGTTTGTCACCTATGGCGGGTTGGCCGGAAGAGATCTCGAGGCGATGGCCGTAGGATTACGTGAGGGCCTAGAGGAAGACTATCTTCAATATCGAGTTGGATTTGTCAAAATGCTGGCAGATTTGCTGAGGGAATATCACATCCCTGTGTTAACCCCACCAGGTGGACATGCGGTCTACATCGACGCAGCAGCTATGTTGCCGCATATTCCCAGAGATCAATTCCCAGCTTGGGCTTTGGGCTGCGCATTATATGTTGAAGGTAAAATAACATTAGCTAATGACACATAAATTATTATCAGATGGAGAGCGGTGGCGCGTAAGTGCTTTACTTGCAAGAACACTAGAATGAATCTAGTGCTGTTTTTTTTTTTTTTTTAAAGATTAAGTTGCTTCAAAAGATAGCACAAATACAGAACAAAACTACTCAAAGTCGCGAATCTTGCTCAAGATATACTGTTGTGTCAGAGCGTTTTTCGGTCAAACTCGAATGAACACCAAAGGAGAACATAAGTTAATACTGAAAATTGCCAGTGAGACCTTGAAGTAAAAGAAAAAGTTAAAACTGCCTGAGGCGCGGTAAAACGGGAGAGACGAATTTGAAGTTACTCCTGACACGAGAGCCATTTGTCGAAGTGCCGAAGGTAACCCGGGATTTCAATGGTTTCCTTTACTTTGCGTTGTGATTGGTTCGGAAACCCGCGCCACACTCTCAGCCAGATGTTCAAACCACAAAAGGCATGAAGGAGAAAGTCGGCAAATATTGATTGCGATGTATTTGAAAAGAAGCCATTATTGATATATGTATTTTTCAGGTGGTATTCGTTGCGGTGAGCTGGGCGGTGTAATGCTCGGTGGAGATGATATAAGCTTGGAGAACGGTCACGAACAAGAAGATGAAAAGAAGGAACTTCTTCGCCTTGCAATTCCACGCAGGACATATACTGAGTCACACATGAAGTACGTATTTTCTACCCTATAGGTGAGGGGGGGACCTTTTAATTTTTCGGCTATTATTATTTTAATTATTATCATTTTTGTTGTTGGGAAATTATTACTTTATTGGCAGAGAAAATTTCGGGCAATCAACGCAGTCTTTTTAGTCCTCTAAAAATACTATCAAACAAACATAGTTCTCACAAATCATATAATCATGGTATATTTACTGTAGGTATACCGCTGAAGTATTGGAGTACGTTAGCAGACACAAAAACGAAGTCAGCGGTTACAGAATCACGTGGGCTCCTGCTGTATTACGTCATTTCAGTGCTCATCTCGAACCCATTTCCCCGCCAAACCAGGAACACGAGAACGGCATTTGAAACGAGGGAAGATAATTTGGTGGAATTCGCTACATGTGAATCACCATTTCCTGTACTGCAAGGAGAATGCTCGTAAACTCACTGACTGTTGTGAAAACTATCCACTTAAGGATTAATCTTTTCTTTTGAGGCACGTATTACACTAATTTTATCACTATCCTAATAACCAGAATGCGGGGGTTTGTCAAACACAAGATTCAAATAAAGTTTGAGGCCATAATTGTATCCTGATTCCTGGTCTTGATAGATGATTTTTTTTTTTGGCTCTTTCCGGCCGCTTGTAAAATTTCGTAATATTTTAATTTTAAGTGCGTCAGAATTCGTCGTATTCGCTACATATGAGTGGCAATACTCTGAAAACGGAGCCTTTGTAAGAAAACCTTGACTGATATAATAAAACGATACAGTTCGCGGGCATGAATATCTTTTAGGCCCGACTCAGAGTTATTTCAGCCCGAGCCGCTAGGCGAGAATTAAAATGACTCGGAGAATGGCTTGAAACAGATTTATGCCCAAGAACATAAACCCTTTTACCATTATTATCATTTTGGAGGAAAATAAGAAAATAGAACCTGATTAATTGCAACAAAACTGTCTGAAAAATCACGCGGGCGTGCGAACAGGCAAAAATATAATTTAGCCCGCCATAATCTCTATGTTAGCCCGCAAAATGCGCCACAGTTCCCGACAAATTGATTGATGATAATTTTCAGCTTCCCATAATATTTTATTGCTTCACAAATGATCAAACTCTCCCTCAGGGCGATTCTTCCCATTCACATTTAAAGGGGAAAGCACTGAGGAAAAGAGATTGTAAATGAAAGATTTCTGAGGTGCTGCATAAACGAGTTTTATGATCAACCAATATACGTATAATAGCAAAAAATTTATATGCAAGTGAACTATGTGCAATAAAAATATTCTCTTTCGGGATTTGAAAACATCTGCTCTTGATATGAGACTTAAATAACACTTGATCTGTATGCTGAAAAAATATTGGCAAATGAAACTCAAATATGACGACATTGGCGGAATTGATCAAAAAGATCATTTGATCTACGTTGTGTAATTTCCGATGGTTAAGTTTGTTTATGGTGTCGCCTCTTCCCCCTTTACATGCATCTTAGATTGTGTAACATTTGGACAAGAAATACGTCTTTATGTCAATGGAAGTATTTAAGAATGCGATGGTACTAGAGGAAAAAATTTTCTCAGAGAACCTAGGGTACGTCGCTTTGCTTCTCCGGCAGATTCAGTCTTGCACAAAAAAAACTCCTCCCAAGTATTGTTGCGTTGGTAATTGCAACTTTTCAAGGTAAAAAGTCGCTATTTCATAGATCAAATTTTTTCGGCTAAAAAACAGTGACTGATCATGAAACTTAAGTGACACATGTAATTTTTTGTGTCAGCATTTTACTTTACGTGAGAGACTATATTCTAAAATATACAATTTATATCGGTTTGAGTGTTTGCAGCCTGCTTATCGGAACTCATTTATCAATTATGAGTGCTTATCATTCAGTTTCACCCCTGTATTTTTGGGCCGTGCACCATATTCTCGATTATGTTTTAAGGCAATTTTAAAAACTTTGATTGATTTGAGGCTTCGTCGGCTAATTTTTGCCGTTTTGTATTAGTGAAATGTCTTCGATCTGATTGTTAACACAGTACACCCTAACATTAGCATTCATATTCTCCTCACTGCTCTCTTTACATTTATTGTGACACTGATTAGTAAAATTTTTTGAGCTATCAGGACCTTTTTAAATTGGTGATTGTTTCCTTCATTCTCATGACCTTTAAATTTGATTCAGGGGCTTTATTGTAAGGAGAAATTAGAAGCCAGACATTCTTAGGGGTTAAAACAAGAATAAAATGATATAAAGGAATTGGAATACGTTTTGTTATCTGTAAGAGGGGCTAAAACTAGGTTTTCCTAATCTTTCTATGAACTAAGGAGGAACTCTACCTCAACAAAAAGCTTACATAGATTGTGCGATTGTACACACTTTGGAATTTGTTATCCGTTGGTTATCTCATGGAATTTTTCTCCGCGCTTTAACAAGTTATTTGACATGTTACTCTTGAAAATTGTCGTGAAATTAAATTGAAAGCAGAGGTAAATAACTGAACGGTGTATCATTGCAACGTTTCTCTTACTTAATTTGGTTCGATCTGTTCCTCTGATCTCTCAACGCGTTTCGATAAAACGATCTACTGAAAAGTTTCGAGAGACAAGTTTGTTCTGTCAAACAGTTATCAGTTTCTCCAACTTAGTGATGTTTGAAATTATATCTTTTCACAGGATTCTTCCGGGACAATTGTAAATAAAAAAGAAGTAAAACATCCGTTGAAAATGCGAGAACTCATTTCAAAGGCTGAAGAGCTCAAGGTTTTCCGCTCTAACGAAGATTGTGCTCATGGAAGAGCGGTCACAAAAGTAAATCTTTCATCCATGTTAGCTGTTGTAACCAGTTACATTCAATATATATCTAAAACAAGAATTTATCACTTCCATAATATGTTATGGATTTTTTCGGTTTTGGTTATTGATATTCTGCGTATCAAAGTCTAATTTTCAAATTTTGTCATATTTTTAATCATCAGCTTATCAACATCGTTTTTAGTTCGGGACAATAACTTTTTACAAAGGCATGATGTGTTTGCTGTAAAAAACACTATATTGGAAATTTCAAGAGTAAACGCTTCATTTTGTAAATAGCCCGTTTGGGTAAACGGAAGCAAACAAATGTTCTTGTCCAGAGTAATTACAATGGCTAGAAACCGGAAAATGTCCCTTTTAAATGACTAAGGGTTGGACGTTTAAGGGTTTTCTTCGGTGAAAGGAGCAGATATCGGAAATGGCAAATAGATGCAACTAATTCTATTTCTTCCATTCGTTTAGGTAAAACGGTTTTTTTATTCTCTTTTTCTTAATCAAAATAACCAAAATAGTTATTACCAAATGGTAGAGTTCAGAGTATCAAATGCGGAACAGATAAAAGAAATTTCAAATTCAAAACAAAATAATTTACTTCTAATTTTTTCGAGAGAGAAAATCCCTTTCTCGGCATACACGGGGTTATTCCTAAAGGTAAATCCAACAACTGTATTAGTAATTTCTTTATTAAAAGTCACCCACTAATCCGTTCTGCCTTTTTCTCATTTTATAATTTACAATAACAATTTTTCTGTGTCATTATGTAACTATAAATGTACTTACGGTAACTTATGATTATGTTATAAATCTTATCAGATTTTGAAGACTGGCCCGCTTAGATTGGCGTGCAGACTAGCTGCCCTTTCATATTAAGAATGACAAAAAATATGAAATGTTGTCGTTGTGACTGTACTTTTTCCCTTCCCTAATAGGATTCAGAACCGATGGATTTGAAAGAACATAGTTTTCAAACTTTCTTCGAGCCTTTTCGTATCAAATCAGTTGAGAAGATACAACGTACCACAAGAGCTCAGCGGGTTCAGCGTCTAGAAGAGGCGAATTTTAATCCCTTCATGTTGAACTCTGAAGATATCACTATCGATCTGTTGACAGATTCTGGTACGGGCGCCATGAGCTCCGACCAGTGGGCCGCTGTCATGAAGGGTGACGAGTCTTACGCGGGCTCACCAAGCTACCGGAATTTTGAAGCAGTGGTGAAAGAAATCTTCGGCTTCCGCCACGTGATCCCTACGCACCAGGGCCGCGCTGCCGAGAGGATCTTATTCCAGTGTAGTCTCAAAGAAGGGGATGTTGTTCCAAACAACGCACATTTTGACACAACACAGGCCAACGTAGAAAAGTGTGGAGCCAAGGCATTAAATTTGCCAGTCCCCGAGGCCCTAGATGCTAAGATTAAAGTTCCTTTTAGGGGAAACATGGAGGTCAACAAACTAAAAGAGTTATTGTCGGGGGAAATGAAAGAAAGCGTTGCTATGGTAATGATTACAATTACAAACAACGCCATTGGTGGAGAGCCCGTCAGTATGGAGAATATCAAAGCGGTTTCCAAGATCTGCCACTTGCACGGAATCCCGTTTTTCCTCGACGCCTGCCGTTTTGCGGAAAACGCATGGTTCATCAAAACGCGTGAAGAGGCTTATACATATCGCACGCCGCTCCAGATAGCACGTGAGATGTTTTCCTATGCTGATGGCTGTACCATGTCTGCTAAGAAAGATGGTCTCGTAAATATTGGGGGATTTCTGGCCATGAATGACGAGCATCTTGCTGACAAGTGCCGCCGGGAGTTGATCATATCTGAAGGGTTTCTCACTTATGGCGGGTTGGCGGGGAGAGACCTGGAAGCGATGGCTGTAGGATTGCGCGAGGTTCTGGAGGAAGACTACCTTCGGTATCAAGTTGGATTTGTCAAAATGTTGGCAGATTTACTGAAGGAACATCACATTCCTGTGTTAACCCCACCAGGTGGTCATGCGGTCTACATCGACGCAGCAGCTATGTTGCCGCATATCCCCAGAGAGCAGTTCCCAGCTTGGGCTTTGGGCTGCGCTTTATATGTGGAAGGCAAGTCAAAGTCTGTGTTACTGGGTATAAGCCGGTGGGATCTTTGTTTTTATTGAACTCATCACGTTGCCTGGTGTACGTCTTCTACTTGCCACGAAATGCGCGGTCATCACTGAGAAATCTCAGAGCCCACGGGGAAGATCCAGAGCATCAGCCATTGCTTATCGCTTGGAAAGAGTTGGTGTTGGGGGATCTGAGGATTTTGGTTCTCCTGATTACTACCTTAAAGCTCTGTAACATTCTTATGCCCTCCCCCCCTTAATTGGCATTCATTTTCTATAGTCTCCCACTATGCTCTGCTGGCGACGACTGATGCCCCCCCCCCGTTCCCCCTTATAACCGTGTGAGCCCCCCTCCACCCCCTCTCCAGGCAATAAATAAGGACTGGTCCCTGGTTACTTTTTAATCCCATTATGATGAGAAACGTGTACGCATTTGTATCAGTAACCGCGGAATGATGTACACTGTGACACTAATCATGCGTTCACTCACCTAGGATAATATTCCATTTCAAATCGGTAGTAGTCTGGGCAAAGCAAGGCGTTCTGTTCTGTTCTGCCAGAAACCAACAGCGGAAAGGCGCACGGATTAATTTTTTCCTTTCCCCATGAATTCCACCGCCCGCGGAAACGCCTGGTAACAGACTAGACATAGCTCTCGAACTTACCTTATTTGTTTAACTTCTTAGGGGGAATCCGATGTGGTGAGTTAGGTGGTGTGATGCATGGAAAAGATCCTAAGATCATAGAAAATGACCATGAATTAGAAGACGACGAAAGTGGAGAACTTCTACGCCTTGCCATACCACGAAGGACATATACTGAGTCACACATGAAGTAAGTACCGAATAAGTGTTTGTACATACATAGTTTGAGAGCGCTAGGATTCCTAACCGTGAGTCAAATTTTGATTACGATTTTGTCCATTTTATAGGTACGTCGCCGAAGTATTGCAGTATGTTTACAGACACAAAAGAAAGGTTAACGGATACAGAATCACCTGGGCACCGAATGTACTGCGCCATTTCAGCGCTCACCTGGAACCCATTCCTCCATCAGCCAAGAAAGAAGACGGGCCTGAGGAGGACGAGGTCGATGACATGGAGGAATTCATATCACGTGTGCGTGGAATGTCACTTCGTCGACACTCCTACCAGTTTTTGTAACTCTAGTAAACTCGTCGCAGCTTGACATGCTCTGACGAAGGGCTAACCCTCGAAACGTCACTCTTCACGGTGGCAAAATTTTACAACAATAACTCAATTAATAAAACTTGATTATCTTGTTGTACGCCCCGCTCACGCAGATATCAACCTCGTTCCTTTTTGCATTTGAATGGACCTTGGCTTCGTCTCAGCCCATAAAAAATGTAATATCCAGTCATCTTGTCCTCGCTCTCGGTCAATCGCATATTTATATTGTAAAATTTGTTTTAGGATTGTGTTCAATCAGATATCGCAATCGGTTGGTTAATTAAAGATACTGAGCCCAATTACGGTTGTTCCTGTTCAATCCATTAGTTAGAGCGCATTTCAATTGCAAGTCGTAACCCAACGAAATCACAATGGCCAATCAGAGAAAGGAAAATGCTCTTAAGATAATGGGAACTTAAAGTAATGCGTGGCAAAACGCGGGCGTCCAAGTCGTGATTGGTTTTAGTTTTGCATCTGATTGGTTAAGAAGGTTGGTGCGAAATTTCTGGGCCAATCACAGAGCAAAGTACAACAATACCAAAGCAATCCCAAATACCAATGTAACAATGAATTACTTTCTACACTATATTGAGAATTGCTCCAAATGGATATTAAATTGGATTGCAATGCCACTGCATCAATGCTGATAGCATCCGTTCAAATATCTCCTCCCTAATCAGCATTATCAGTTTCCGCCAAAGTTCGCTCCTTAAAATAAGGTTTCGACGATGACAAAGATAAAAACATAGTTGATTAACTTAAATTCATTTTTACTGTCTTAATACATAACAAGTAAATAAATTTCTTCAAATACGTCGTTCTTAGACTTTCTTATCTATAAATGTTTTCTCTTTTCTTTATCATAGTGTAAACTGCAACAAGTTTGCGTAACCTATTAAACAATCTTATTACGATTAAAAATTTTTAGTAAGAATTTTATTTAAAACAGATTCAAAATTCTTTACATCGGGTGACTGAAAGGTATTATGCCTGCGCAGCAAGCAAGGCTTGTTTCTAGGGAGTTTCCATCATCCGATGAGGGCACATCCAAGAAATAGGCTAATAGGGATGTGCCGATAGATAGACTCGCATTTTTACGACTAAATTGACTGTAATGGGATTGAATTTTGTTAGAGTTACAAGAATCGGATGGCATATTTTTGGGATTTTGGGGGTAAGTAGGCTTTACGTCTACAATTGGCCACAGTATAGACTATGGTGGGGCAGGGGATCTGAGATACCAGCGGTACATACCCAGTAAAATAGACCCAAGCACCCCCGCCACAGTATAGACTATAATGGGGCAGGGGATCTGAGAGGTCAGCGGCACATACCCAGTAAAATAGAACCAAATTCCCTCGCAGCCATTACTATTCCCCTAAAATCAAATCGCGTACGTCATAACATCAAAATCCATCGGAATTAGTCAATTACTGGGTCTCAAATCATATTAACTAAACTGCATTGATGAATTTTTTCGTCTCCTCAACACTTGACCACTGGACACCTTTACGGCTGACGGACGGCGCACTTTATCTGTTTCCTCAGAAGCCTCCGACGGCGGTGGAATGGGTTCCAGATGAGCGGTGAAATGACGCAACCAGGGTGGTTCCCACGCAATGGTATAGCCGCAAACCTTAGAGCGGTTCCTGTAAATATGGGCGCAGACCTCTGCAACATATCTGTAAAGAGGATTTATACAATTATTGGTACATGTTAGTAAGTAGGAATCTCCCTTGAAAAGCCTAAAAAGGGAACAAGGAAATTTTGAATTCTTCCATCCTTTTCCTTGGTGGGCAGAATTAGGATTTCAAGAGACGTTTAGTTGAGGAAAGCATAATAATATTAAGGTTAAATGCTTTGAAAGTCAACATCAGAGCATCCTTTAACGATTTTCTCGCGGCAGTTACCCTCATCCAATCATATACGAAACTTTTCAAACGCCTACGCCTTTGTGAACAGCACATGTCAGACTCGCGCTTGATCACTTGACATAAGGACTGGATAGGAATGTGCCACGTGACACATTTGGTCGGTGGGAGAGTTTAACAGGGTAATTTAGTATTATCAAATGAGTTGATAACGTAAATTAGCCACCACAAAGGCATTTAAAGCTGACGTTTCGAGCGTTAGCCATTCGACAGAGCGAAGGGCGAAGCTACGCTCCGATGAAGGGGTAACGCTCGAAACGTAAGCTTAAAAACTCTTTATGGTGGCTAATTTACGTTATCAACTCAGTTTATAATACTAAATTACCACACTGTAAGAATTTATGTTACACTTTATAAGTGAAGGGCTCACCTGATATGAGACTCAGTGTAGGTGCGGCGAGGAATGGCCAGACGGAACAGCTCTTCATGCTCCTCCACTTCAGTTTCAAAAACCTCATCATCTTCTTCATCAGTGTTTACTTCATCCTCTGTATTCTCACTCACTGCGGAAGACTCCTTGCCATTTTTGGCCGTTCCCAGCATCACCCCGCCAACTTCAGCCCCTCGGATACCTCCCTCGACATAAAGGGCGCACCCGAGGGCCCACGCGGGAAATTGTTCCCTGGGGATGTGAGGCAGCATTGCACCTGCGTCGATATACACCGCGTGACCTCCTGGGGGCGTGACAATCGGAACATGGTTCTCTACGAGTAAGTCCCCCAAAAACTTCACGAAGCCAACTTGATAACGCAAGTAGTCCTCTTCTAAGACCTCGTTTAATCCCACGGCAATTGCTTCGAGATCGCGACCGGCGAGTCCACCGTACGTCGTAAACCCTTCGGTTATCAAGAGCTCTTTCCGGCATTGTGCGGCGAGTTCCGAGTCGTTCATTGCCAAAAATCCCCCAATGTTTGCTAGGCCGTCTTTCTTTGCGGACATAGTGCAACCATCGCCGTATGAGAAGATTTCATGCGCGATTTCTTTAGGTGTGCGATTGGCATAGCCTTCTTCTTTGATCTTGATGAACCAAGCGTTCTCAGCGAAACGACAGGCATCGAAGAACAGCGGAATACCATGAGCTCGACATAGTTTTGAGACCGCCTTGATATTCTCCATGCTAACAGGCTCACCTCCAACCATGTTATTGGTTATGGTGATCATAACAAGTGGGATTCTGGCCTTACTCTTAGCGACCTTTTCTTCTAGCATTCCTATATTCATGTTACCCTTAAATGGCATATCTGTACTCGGCTCCATAGCTTCGGGTGTCAAAAAATTGATCGCGTGCCCCCCCTGCGCTTCGATGTTGGCCAAAGTAGTCGCAAAGTGTGCGTTGTTAGGAACGATATCTCCTTCCTTTATTGTGCACCGGAAGAGAATGCGCTCAGCAGCGCGCCCTTGATGCGTGGGGATCACGTGACGATAGCCAAAGATCTCCTTGACGACCTTTTCAAACTTTATGTAACTCGGGGAGCCTGCGTACGACTCGTCTCCAAGCATTACCGCTGCCCACTGTTCAGAACTCATCGCCCCAGTCCCTGAATCGGTCAGCAGGTCAATCATGATGTTCTCCGAGTCCAAGAGATACAAATTGTAGTTGGCTTGTTTCAGATGCTTGATTCGTTCGTCTCGCGTTGTTTGCTTGAGTTTCTCAACAGATTTGATTTTGAAAGGCTCGAAGAACGTCGAAAACTTGTGCTCTTGCATATTTTCACAGGGTTAGAGCTAACACTGAAATATAATAAAAACAGTGTTTGACTGCGCTGTAAATCAGCCTGAAGGTCTTCAACAACCGATAATAAGTGCATCACACGCTCCTCCCTGGGATAATTTTATCATTTACCTCTTAATTTTCGAGTTTGGCGATAGGAAGGGTAGGAGGGGAGGGGGACGAGACTTTAGGAAGGAGAGGGTGGGGAAGGAGAAAGAGCCTACTACGTATGCGCAGGCCAAATATTAAGGGTATCGAATAGATGAGTTTAAGACACTCCTAAACGAGGGAGCTAAACAATGTTACTGTGTGAAACTCACGGCAAACGGGGAGGGGAGTCAGATACAACTTCGAAAAAAAGCAGTGAAAGCGCAGTATACAGAGCTAGCAAAAATATTTTAAAAATTGCCAATGAAGGGGCAAAATTATGCGCTGGTTCTAGGTAGAGTCGTCTGGAGACAAGACAGAGTAATTTGTAGACTTTCCGATGGAAAAAAAAAAGAAAAATAAAAGGAAGACAAAAAAGATCCAGACAAATTGAAAAAACTTTCAGTTCTGGTGCCTCAAAAAATATAATGAGGCAGGAACCTTACTGAGGATATTGACCAATTTCACAGCCGCCTAAACAACGGGGGAAGGATGTTCAGGCTTAGAATTCAGAGGGGTCAACTATTTAAAATATTAGCTACAGGTCAAGATTAAATTTTATACATCTGCTTGGTGGAATTTTTCCGATTATTAAAAATGAGGCATGTCACGAAATTTTGCATTGTGTTCTGAATGCTGAAAATTGTCGTTCACTTGAAGGAAACATTCACATTTATTTTTCGGATGAAGAAAAACACCAAAGAAACAGGCAAAAACCAAGTAGAGACCAGGATGGTTGAGTACTGAGAAGATAGACATCGATTATAGTAACAAACTCATAAAATTTAGCTTTCCCATGGTTAGAAGGCCAAGCGAGATGATCGCTCGGGAAGAGAGGAATTTTAATAGACACTCTTCAGACAATGGAATGAAATAACGATTGGTAATAGAAACAATGGCATTTGTTTCTCAAAGAAATCTAAGAAGTATGATCTTTCGGATGAGCGTCAGTCTCTTACGGTTCGTCGCACAAGAATAGATGACTTAAGTCTAAGATTTTGATGTGCTGGTGTCGGGAAATCGGCATTTCTTCCTAAAGTCAGTTCTTTGCCGTCGAAGGACAATAACCTGTAGTTTAAACCGTTTTCCGTTTCTGTTCATTGCTACTCTATTAAGTCATGCGTTTCAAATTAATTGGAGTGAAACACTGCATATAAAACTTTAGTTGATATGATCGTTTGGTGTTGACATTACATTACTTGAACAAGCAAATAATTTGTTGGGGCTATATTGCGGGTTTGCCGTTTATCTCGTCGTGAAAGTGTAACTGATTTCGGTTTCCATGGTGCACAAGCAAATGTTACGATATGTTTTCAATTCCCTACCTTTATGCCAGCGATGGCGAAAAATTCTGTCCACAAAGATCAGTGAAGTTTTCTCTCACAGTCGAGATTTACCGGTTCGTCGCTGAACGCTTATAGACTTGGACGCTGAAGTAACGTGGAATCATATGACAACATAGTCCTCTGGGGATCCCCTCCATTTATCGTGTTTCCAGTACGTCACAAAAG